CAATGGGCATTGAAGGAATTAAAATTTTAACATGGAAAGGCAGAACTGAATTTAATTTGGGTACCTCATATTGTTCTGGCATTCTCAGGGCAGTGTTGCAACAACACACAACAGTAGTCAATTATATCTGAAAAGCGAGTGGCACTGCACCAGGAATTGCAGTGCCAAAATTATTTTTCTCTGCATTCCTAACTTTGGCTCCATGTGAATGAACACAAAAGGAAATTGTGTTGAAGTACAAATAGAGGTTTTTGGGGGACCAAGAAGAATTATGCTGGAAGGACCAGAATAGTTTCTTCTGGAAAGAAGCAGTGTAAACTTTTCAGAAAAGGCTGAAGGAATTCAAAGAACCATACATGCACAAACCACCTGCAAGTTCCCCTCTGAAATGTGTCTTCTTCTGCCTAGGACACTTTCTGTATTGGGAAGGGGGACTTTCTCTTTTCTCATTTCCTCTCAAACAGAACTCAGAAGTCTTCAGTGTCACCTCGTGGAACACAGATAGTCTATATATTCTCTCTAACATCTCACTGGCAGTATTGGAGCGCCTCCTGCAATGTTTTGGAGGGGATACACCAGGACAGAGAAAGAAAAAACAAAGGCAGAACTCAGCTTCTAAAAGGAACAAATTCAAGCATGTGGCTTGCGGGAGGATGCGACGACAGGTGTGTTTCTGTGGCCACCCAAATAAAAAAAGGCTGTTTAACTGCATCTGAGATCTCAGTGACAAGCAGGCTGCTGTCTCACTGCTCTGGGAATATTTGGCAGCAAGTGAAGGGTATGCAAGAGGCACCTGTATGTACCCAGGCCTGTGGCAGGAGATATTTAGAGTTTGTTCTTTTTGTCCTGCCGACATTTCAAGAGACCGAAAGTATCACATCAGCTGACTTGACAACTTTCCTGGAGGAGTGAGGCAGTAAGGAGGAGAAAATAATCTGACACAATAAAGGGAACAGCAGATGGACATGCCCATGTTAACAACAGAAATTATAGCAGCCCTGGTATTAAAAACAGTGATTAAAAATGAGAAATATACTTTTGTACTTTGTAATAGTAATAATGAAAACATATTGAGCAATACAGCATGGAACCAGGCAGATTTATGAACAGGATGAAATAATGCTATTTCATTTTGTGTCTTAGTAATGAATTCGAGGATTCAGAAACCGCTCCACAATTCCAGGCAACTATTAATCAAAATAATTGAAGTAAAATAAAAATGAAATTGAAAGCCAACTTTAGTCAACCGTGACTAGGTGTTCCCCACCTTCAAATTCAGCTAAAAGCATGTATAAATAAACCAAAAGTCCAAAGCATAGCCAACTCAGTTGTCAAATAATCTAGTTCACAAGATCAGAGAACCTGAGAAAAAAAAATGGTGCATATAATTAGGAAAAAAATCCCAAGACCCTTAGAAAAATGGCACTCAATCAAGAAGTACTAAAAATCAAGTACCTGAGTAAATGAGCAACTTCAGCACATCAAGACAAAGAAAGTCCATTAAACCACCATCAGCTAAACAAAAATAACTTACAAACAATTCATAAACATGGACTCATTTTTTACTTGGCATGTAAATAGGTTTTGAGAACATAAATACCCTAATGTCCAGAAAGAGTTAGGAAATACAGAATGAAATTAATTTGCAATTTAATATGACTGGGGCAACTGGTCCCCAAATATTATTTTAAATATTTGACCCTAACTCTCTTGATGTTTGTTAAAAGTCAGACTGGTAATCAGGTCCTTTAAGTGAGAACAGCTCTAACAACTCAGTAGGAACAATATTCCTTTTTGACAAGTATGGGCAATACCTTAGTGAGTTTAATATGACCATATCTGCCAAAAACAGGAATGGTGATAATGTTACTTTTAGTGTACAGCAACATCTCTGAAACAGCATTAGATTGTTCAGAGGTAGAACACATAGAGGAAGAGGAAAGTAAGATCCAGCACTTCAAAGGACATGAAAGAGGAGATGTCACCTGGCACTGAATAAAGCAACTGTTTTTGTAGAACTGTTTACCACTGTGTGGACTACGTACCACAGTGACTGAAAAGGACTCAACCACTACACACAAACTGTCTCGCTTACTGACTTCTCTTGAAGATGGAAATATGGTGCCCTGCATAGTCTCTTTTTCCTCAGCCAACTGCATGCATGCACACGAATTTGATTCCCAGAATGACTCAGACAGCAGGAAAACCTCTCTGTGCAAGGCCAGTTTCCCCAACATTCAACATCAGATCTTGGCTCTTGCAAGGGATGTCCTTTTAAATGTCTGACTGTCAGCTCAAGTTGAGCAAGTGGGGATTAACTGGCTGTATTTCAGGTGTTTCTGTTTAAGATTAGCATTATGTTCTTCTCCTTGTCTCAGAGACAGAGGAGGTAAGATTTATTCACACTTTTTTGATAAGAATAAAGATCCTTTTAGCTTCATATCCAACAGTGGCCAGAAGCGGATGCATGAAGAACACGAGCAGAAGACTGGAAAGGACACTTCCCACTAGTAAACTCCCAGATACTAGACATCAGAACAAGGGCCCTGAATCACATATGGTTCCTTTGTTTTTACCTGGGAATCCTGACAGTTGGACTTATCTGTAAAGACTGAATCAAATGAGGCACCAAGTGCCTCAGCTTTTCCAGTGTCTTTTGTTTCCAGATCCCCTACCCCGGTAAGCAGTGGGCCCACATTTTCCCTAGTCCTTCTTTGGCCGATGATGTACCCCTAGAAACCTTTTTGTTGCCCTTCAGATCTCACACCAGATTCAGCTCCATATGCACTTTGACTTTCCTAACCCAAACCCTTCATGATCAGACAAGGTCTCTATAACCCTGCCAGATCTTCTTCCTTTGCTTCTACCTCCTGCACATTTCCTTTTTATTTATGAGTTTGTTCCGGAGCCCCTTGTTCATCATTTTGGCCTTCTGCCACCTTTGCTTGACTTACTGCTTTGTCAAGAGGAACCATTCTTCAGCTTGAAGGAGCCAATCTCTGAAAATCCAGCAACTCTCCTAGACCTCTCTTCTGTCCAGGACCATAACCCATGGGATTCTTCCAAGCAGGTCCCTGAAAAGCCCAAATTCTGCTCTCCTGAAGTCCAAGGCTGCGGTTCTGCTTTCTGCATTGCTCCCTCCTCTCTGGATCCTGAGCTCAAACACTGCATGATCACTGTGTTAAGACTGCCACTCACCTTGACCTCCACCACCAATGCTTCCTCACTTGCAAGTAAGAGATCCAGAGCCTCAATTGCTTGTGCCAGCAGGTTTTTATCAGTACACTCCAGAAAACTGCCAGATTGTTTGTGCCCTGCTGTGCTTTCCCACCAGCAGATATTTGGTATGGTTCATGCCTGGTCCCATGAGGACCAGGGCCTGTGAACGTGAGGCTTCATCCAGTTGTCTGAAGAAGGCTTTATCAGGTAATGTCTAGTAGCCACTCACTACAATGTCACCCATGTTGATCTGTCCTCCAATTCTGATCCGTACACTATTAGCTAGCTCATTGTACATCCCAAAGCAGAGTTCCATGCATTCTACCTGCTCTCTGACAGAAAGGGCAATTGCCCCTCATCACCTTCCCAGCCTGTCTTCCCTGAACAGCCTGGCTCCATCCACTACTGTACTTCCTTAAGCTACCCCAGTGCATATCCATGATCCCATATCTCTGCAACCAGGCCATGGAGCTAAAACTGGACCATGCTGGAGAGGATCCCAGGGAATGTGCACTAACCTGTACTTTACCATGCATTTCAGTTCTTGGATCATGTGAGTTATTGCACCACATCACTGTGTTGTCAATGAGACCATAGGCCTGCAACTGCTAGCAGAGCTCTAATTTCTATTATTTTTTCCCCATATTCCACGCATTTGTGCACAGGCATTTTAAAGAGGCACCCAGTCATGCTGATTTCCTAGAAACGGAGGGCTTTCTTTTTCCCTGTAGGTACTTCACTTGAAGTGCACCCCTTTCAGCCTTTTTTTTAATTTTATTATTGTTATGAAGTCTGTCCTGTTCATATCACACGTCATACATTTTGTACCAACCCTTCCCACCACTTTCTCACTTGATTATTGATCATTCTCTTCCTCCCCTGTTGTTCTTAGTTTAAAGCTCTTCTATTGGGTTGGCCAGCCTGTTGGAAAAGATGTTTTTGTTTTATTTAGTCAGGTGGCTCCCATCTGTTCCAAACAATCCTCAGTCCTCTAAAAGGGTTCCATGGTCACAGAAACCAAGTCCCTTTTGCCAATGCCAGCTGTGCAACCAAATATGACTATAGGATCGATCCACTCCTTCTCACCACCCTCCCCCTCACTAGCACGATCAAAGAGAAACCCACGAGGGCCCGCAAGCCCTTGACCATCACCTCCGGAGTCTGGTTGTTACTTTCCAGGACTCCCCTGGCAGTATCATTAATACCCACATGAGAGAGCAAGCAGGGGGTAGTAGTTTGTAGATGTAATAAGTTTTGCAAGTCTTTTAACAGTGGCCCCAATCCAAGTCTTTGGCAAGGAGTAAATGACAGGCCCAGCTGTCAGAGGGGGCTTTTGTTTCAGGGAGCGCTTTCCATTAGTAACACCCCTTTTTCTGGTGCTCTGTGTGGCTCATGGTCAGTGGGCTCAGACACCTCATTTAACAGAGCTCCCAGCCTGTGATTTGCTATGACAGCACAGAATCTATTCTGTAGATGCAAGTCTTCACGTGAAGCAAGAGCCTTCCTCTTGGTGTCAGAAGTCACAAGCTCTCAGCCTTTGTCATCATGGGAATCTCCGTTCTCATTTTGATAGACACAGAATAAACCTGCCTCTCCTTTGTTAGAAAAGGGAGGAGCTGGCTCTTGAAACTGCAGGGTCTCAGATATTGAGTCCATCTCTTGCCATCAATGTTCAGATAGTGCTAATGATGCAGAAACTGATCATCCTGAAGGATTTGATCAATCTGCAACAACTTCTTTACTCTTTAATAGACACTTCCATGGGTACAGTGTCTCTGTCTAACAAAGAACAAACATTTTGCCCACTTTCTCATCTTATCTAAAACAACATAAAGACTTCCTAAGGCACAAAATGACCCCCAGACACCAACTCTAAGAGCCCAGATCAGGCACATTGCTCACGCTCCTGAGCACTGAAACCAAATGCAAGGTGAAAAAGCAGTCAGCTTCCTGCAGCACAGAAGTATTTTCATAAATGCTTTGAAATAGCAATAAAAAAACGGGTTTTTTTCCCCCCCTGCTTTCTGTGTAGCTTAACTCCATGAGACTTTTCAGAGGTGTCATGTAGTCCCAAAGTTATGAGTTATAAATCAACCTTTTTTGGTCTAATTTTAGACCATTCTTTGAAAGCCATATCATATGTCTTCATGTGGTATGTTGTGACAAAAACTACACAAGAAGTCATGTGACTGCCTGTATATTCCAAAATTCTGTGTAGTGAAAAGGAAGAGACAGTTTTTGTAATGGAATATATCACTGTGTTGGGGGCTGGAGTACCACAATGATATAAATTACAAAGGGCCCTGTACAAAAACTCAAAGATGGAAAAAAGGCAATATATTTTGATGAAGAAAGGAGATGGGTGACTGATTAAGGAGACAAATACAGCATTCTTTTAGTATTTCTATTTATCCCGGAAATACAGAATTCAGGGTTTCTAAAAGATGGAAGAAAGCAAGTATTTGGAAATTCTGCATTCAATCAAGCTATTTTAAATCATTTAACTACTCAATTATTGTTTTTCCCTTTCCAGTTTTGGAAGAAAAATGTGGCTCTAGTTACCCTCATGGGATTGCAAATATGGATAATTAGGACAAACATCTGGCTTTTCATGTCCTGTTTTTACAACACTTTTGAATACCTTGAGAAAAGCATTACTTATTGGACTAAGTATTAGCACTGTGTGGACAGAGAAGATGGTATTTGGAAGTGGGACCACTCTCATAGTTGAACCACGTAAGTAACATTATTTTATTGCTAAAAATTATGTTAAAATTAAGCTGGGGAAGAACAAAGGGATCTACTGGTTTGGGTTCACTGTAAGAATTCTCTGCTGCAATAATCCCTGCTTGCCAGAGTTTCAAGCTGATCCTTAGGTTGTATCTGCTTAGGAAGGTTTTAGAGGAACAGCTGGGCTACCTCTGTATATCGGCGTTACTCCATGATCCCCAAACACCTGGTATGCACTACTTAAGTTTAACGTGTTGTAATTTATTGCCAGTCTGGACAGCACTAGCTCGCAGTGGAGAGAAGTTTTGAGACAGATCATTAGCTCTCTGATATGAGAAGTTAGTTTTTGACACTGGCACCACACTCATAATGTCACCAGGTAAGTAATTCCACTGGCATGGAGACAGAGGAGGAGGGAGGTTTAATACAATTCGGCTTAAATTTTCACAGCTGCGTTATATCCAAGACCACTTTGAATGAATGAAAATTGTCTAACAAGTTGCCTAGGCTTTGAAAATGCAGGTGTGGCGAGTAGGGGTTACAGGAAGCCTTAGTCTTTCCTACCTTTATGTGAAATTTCTTGATGTACAAAAAAAGGTGGATGTCATCCCAAGCTTTTCTGTGCGAGTGTGAATGTTGAGGCAGCAGGTGAGTTTCTTAGGCTGATCTTTGTTGTCCTAAACATCCTAGTACATACCTTAGGACTTGTTATGATGCTTTCAGAGATCTGCATATCTTTAAAGTGCTGCAGAAATGTCCCATGTAATTTTACATACTTAAAACATCCTGCTTTCATTCCAGAAGGGCACAGGGTTCCCTTAGTTCTTGCCTAATATCTGTCCAGTTCTGTAGGATATCTTGCTTGGGAATAAATGGAACGATTTAAGTCCACCCCCCAGTTGCAAAGGGACAAAGGAATACAAAGATACCATTTTGAAGAAAGATCTGTTCTTTCCAGCTAGCAAATCCTCAGTTGTAAATGTAGGACCAGAAGAAACTGCCAGATGTCATTATTTTAACCCCAGTCAACACTGATTTGAAGATAGTATTTATCAAGAAAAAAAGAGGTAAAATATCCCAGAATACTAGAATTTGGCAAGAAAAAAACCCCAGTAAAACACAGTCTAAGAGCTGGCAGGTGGAAGATTGAGCAATGGTTTTGCCATTTCAGACATTTACAGAAATGCTGTTATGATACTCTTATGTCTCACATAAAGAGTCTTCTGTTTTTTTCTAAAAGTTTAGTGCGTTGCTTCTTCTGTTGACAAGAAAATATTTCTTTCTAATCAGCTGAAGGTAGCATGTGGCTCATTGACTGCAACAAGATATTCCTGGTTTAAGCAAACTTTTGCAGTATGTTACTCAAATTTCTCAAAGATCTCCACTGAGTTTCCCACAATTTGAGTTAGAGAACAATTCACTTGACAAAACAAAGGTATTGACCTTCTCTTCTTCTCTATCTTGAAACCCTTTAAATCATTCTTTCTCTGTTTTTCCTGCCTATCTAGCGTCTCTGACATCCTGATGAAAAATTACACGAAACCTCAGTTGAGTGAAGTTTCCATAATGTTCAATGATTTATCTTTTTCTAGCTAAGGATCAGAGGACATTTTCAAAGCTGCATAAAGACTTTAGGATTATGTTTGACAGTAAAACATGATAGGCCTTAAGCATCTAAGTCACTCAGTGTCTGTTGAAACACTTAAGAAATTGAAGCCAAAATTTCCAGAATTTGCACAACCTGACCCTCTTGTTGCTAAATTTGGAGTTCTTTGTGAGATACTAATATATATTTTAAGATGCTAAGAACAGATGTACTTTATTACCTGAATCATTTGAGAATCCCCAAAACCAAAATGAAGTAGAAAACATGCATTACCAGTCACTATAGGATACTCAAGGCATATTCTCCTCTTGAGGTTCAGTTAAGGAAAGATAAGTTTTTTCTTTTGGTTTGGTTTTGTTTATTCTACGTAAAACTTGCATTAAGAGAACTAAGGCCCATAACATTATGGGATATATAGCTCTTCCCAAGAACTTGTGAGATTAAAGGGAAAAAGTAGTACATCTTTTTGGGCTAATAAAATGCTACTGCTAGAACATAAAACAAAAATCACTCCCAAAAGCAAGCAGTGGTAGGAATTCATGGCTGTATTTTCAGGTAATGCAAAACAGTGAGACTCAGCTGAGGCTTCTGTGGTCTGATAAAGAAATAATTCTGCTTTATTAACTACGGTTGCGCAGTGTACATTTGTTTTTGCTGAGGATTTTACCCAGTGAGTTATGCCAGAGAAGCAGTTTGCTAGCATACTGGCTGTTTGGTAATGCTGGAGATAAGAAAACATGAAAAGCCTCTAAAGATCTTCACAGATAACAAAGACTGCTCTGGCAAAAATATGTCAGAGCACCTGGAAAGGAAATGTATGTAGGAGGAATAGCAAAATGAGCCTTTTTTGATTTATGCTTTTTAACTGTGTGTTACTGCTGCTCTGGTCTTTGGGAAGGGGACTCAACTGACTGTGGAGCCAAGTAGGTATTCTTTATGTATTAATGTTTTCTGACTTGTTATTGTTTGGATTCTCACTTTTTTTCCTTTTCTTCCTCCTAAAATTCAGGCAGCCACTCCCCCATGCTTTAAAGACACTTATTAGACTTTAGGCTTTGTATGCATAACCTTTTGCTATGCAATTAGATAATTTAGGTATAAAAAAATGCTGATCTCAGTTCTTGGGAGTTGCCATAGAATTACAGAATTTGGGCTCTACAAGGGCAAGTCCTGGCTGCTATCATGCTGGATTTGTTTGGGACCTAACATCTACCCACTTACTGAGGCATCCTAATGAGGTTTTCATAGTAATTGTCAGGTTCAAAGCCATGGTTGGACAGTCTGAAGGAAACTGAAGTTCCTTTGGAGGCTGACATTTCAGTTCCTAAGTCAGAGCTAGAGAGACAGCACTGAGGGGAGAGAAGGATAATATAGAAAAACATTAAAAGGAATCTTATGCAACATTTCTGTACTAGTTCAATTTTATGACATTGTTCAGAGTTTGAGTTAAACTGAATAGGTCAAATGAAGTCAATGCATGTTTGATTCCTGTTTGATATCTGTTTGCTGTAGCTGTTGACAAACATGGAGTTGTGCCTGTTTTATCAGTAGAGCCAGCCCATGAAGTTATGGTAAAGTACTGCTTGGCTTTCACTTCAGTTCCTCAGTATTGGGATGTAGCTGGTGAGGGAAACAGAGTAAAATCAGAGCCCCTTGAATAGAGCTTGGAAAAATACCCTGTGATGAACAAAATGTTAGACCTGAGTGATCTCTTGACCAGACTGCAAGGCAGATGACATGCAAAATTCAAGGCCTCATGTACCTATCTTTAGCAAAGAGATCCCATCAGGATGCTTCTGTCAAATTGGACATGTAAATCTTTTTTTATATGTCTCATGGCCTTTCCTAAGATGAGGTCTTTTTAAAAGGAAGCATACTAGATGATTCTCTGCAGCTTAATGTTTTTGTTATAACTCATGTTGCTAATCTTGTTCTGACATTGGTATGTGCCATCACCCTAGTTTCTCCACCTATGACCTGATGGCAAACATATTTTCTTTTAAAAAAATCATTATATCATAATGATTTGTTGGCTACTAAATTATTTTGAGACCATCTGTTTCTTGAAAAGACATCCCCTTCAAGTTTAAGAAAGCTTACATTACTTGTGTGTCTTCTAAGAAATTCTCAAGGAAGGCTGCTGCTATACTGTTGAAATTCAGTCTTTTGCAGTTGTCAGGCTTTTGTCATTTACATATGTTGGTTGGAATTGGGAATTCCACTCTAAAATTATTTCAAAACAGAAAAAATACATCTGAAAGTTTCAGAGTAACACTTCTGAAAGCTGCGTTAGAGAGCAAGGATACCAAATCGTCTGAAAATTTACTAGCATTTTTTAGGTTCTTTCAAAACTCCAGTTCTAGGGCACATTTTTCATGCCTTGGTGTTGTTGGCATCTTGATTCTAAAGAACTACCTTTGAAGGTTATTACACTAACTTAAGCAAGATTGGAAGAAGATTTGTCCATGGACATGAAGTTCATATGCCTCAAGGTGTTTGTGCCTTCAAATCAGTTTATTATACAAATTCTGCATTATACTTCTAAATGCCTCTGGAGCTGTGGGACTAGCAATATGGCACAGCACATGGATAAGAAAGGTCACACTTTTTGGAACAGTTGCAAGAACTTTTGCTGAACTGAATACCAATCCTATTCTGTGTTCATTTTCTACAGACTGGGTTGGAATGTCTTACACCATATGCAATGTCTAGTGGGGAAAACCTCCACAACTGAAAGCTCGTGACCTTATCAGAAACTCCTGGAGAAGTGGGGATACGCAATTCACAGACTTCTCACTGCTTCTCTCGTTTTTTCCCGTCTTAGAGTCCTTTTTGCATATGGGAATTTGTTGTTGAAAAGATCAACCTTATCCCCCACTCCAGCAGCAGTACTTTATTTCTGCAAACAGTATAATTCATTGGAGTAACATTGCACAACACTGAAGCAACAAACTGACTTCTCTTTGCCCTACTACTCTTGCTGTGGTTAGACCTTTTAGCCACATCAAAAGAAGATTTGGGGGAGGGGAGGAAGAGTAAAGGAAAAACAGTTATTCCCTCATATTTCATGAACATGCAAGACAGGCCTCGATAGAAATGTTGGTTTTAGTAATTAAATTGTTGGGAAAGCAGAATAATTTGACTCTTGGAGTGGCATGCATGAAAGTTCTCTTCTCATTTGCAGGTCCCTTACTTATAAAGATTTTACATACAGGCACGAAATTTGGCAAAAGGAAGCTTAGAATGTCATACACCCTTTCTGTCTTTGATCTGATCTTCTGGAAGCAGCAGCAAGAAACAACGACAACAGAGGCTGTTTGTCATTGATAATGCTAGGAATTAGTCACAGCTGGAGTATATATAAATTTTAAGTAACTTAGCACTCAAGCAAGCTCACAATAAAATCAAATCATGCCCAAAAAATGCTTTTTTTGCAGACAATCAAAACAGTTCTGACCCAGAAGTCATTGTGATGAAATCAAAGAAACTGGAAGAAGACGGCAGCATTGGGAAAGCAGCGTGTTTGGCAAGAAATTTCTATCCAAAGAACATAACCTTGGAGATGTCCTCTGATGAGGTCATATATGAACAAAGTACATCTATTTTGACATCAGAGGGGTTGTACGATAATATTAAGGTGGTCAATGTGAAAAAAGGCACAGAGGTGACCTGCACAGCTGAATTCAATGGCAGAACTATTACAGGCAACGCACGAACATTGCCAGGTACAATTTTGTGATATAGCTGCAACTTATTTCTGGATGCAGTATCTTCTAGTGCTTGCTATTTCTCCTGCTAGTAAGCATTGCCCTGGGTAACACACAAAAATGGGAAAGACATCTGGTGCTTAAGCAGGCAGAGCTGAAAGATAATGAAAACATCTAAAATAAATGGTCTTATTTGTTTAGCAACTTGGAGTTACTTTTTTTCTGGGAAAAAAAAGCAACAATCTTTTTTTAAAATATACATTTACTTATGACGAAGTACTTCACCACATAGCAGCAAACCTTCTAAAGTACAGCCTGAAATAGCCTTTCAAAAAGGAAAAATTTTAGGTGGTGGTGTCTTTTTTTTTTCCTAAAAAATTTTTTATGTTTTACCACTTTTCTATATTTTTATCCTTTTTGTCATCATGAAGCTTATTCAATCAATAAAAACAAAACAACTCAGGAATTCTTTTGTTTTCTGCAATTGCACTGAGAAATTTTCTCCTCAAATTAATGTTAGAATTAGTAACCGGTCATCTGAGCCTCAGACTGTACTGCCCACATGTTGCTTGGGAAGGTTCATATGAACATTTTGTTTAATCCTTTTTAAAATTTGGATGTAGTTTATAATACCTTTTCTTTATCATGCTACAGGAAAGGAGGCTGAAGAACCAGTAACAGAGAAGGTTTGCAACACCACAGACACCTCTGCACAAGGTTAGTTAACTAAATAGATTGTGAAGTTACATTACTATTTTGGGGATAAATGCATGGAAATGTAATTTCTCAGGGGTAAAGGAATCAGGATACAACATATTCATCAAACACAACCTGCTTTTTCAAGGCAGCTAGCTTAGTAACAGACAAGCCACAGGACACAAAATTCAATCTAGACAGACATTCTCCTTCCCCGTTGTTGCCATGTTTCTCTATCAGCTTTTCCTTTGCTGCTGTTTCTTTCCCTGAAACTATTAGCTGTGTTTTTTTCCACTTGCTGCCAATATCATGATAGCCAAATCTAGACCATGATGTCTCCCATATTTTCTCTATCACTTAGCAGATATCAAAGTGGAGAAAGCAAACATGCTCTCTATGGCTGTATTGGGTTTGAGAGTCCTGCTGGCAAAAAGTATCGCCTTCAACACACTCATGAGCATCAAGTTGTTTCTTTTCTGAGGTAAGGAAGCAGAAATCCTGGAAACACATGCCAGGAATGGCTGCTTGTCTTTGTATACTTCTCTAACCCCACAAGAAATGACACCTGTTCATTTACTCCTGTTTCCATTAAATAACTCTTGTAGGTTTCTGGGGAAATAATAAACACTTCCCCACCCAAAAAACCCCAAAAGCCAACCAATGCCCACTCTCTCCTACCACCCAGCCCCCCTGCTACCCCCACCACCCCCCCCCCCCAAACCACAAAGAAAAGAGCCCCTTTCTGTATCCAAAGCTCAGTTCTTGGTGGTTGGTCCCCAGATTTTCTTTGCAACAAACTTGCTTTGCCAGAGCATCTCCGGTATTACCGGAAATGCCTAAGAGATATCTCATTGACTATTTCAAATGGCAGAGCACAAAGCCCAGAGAAAAATCAAGACAAATAAGGAGTCAAAAGCAAAGCTCCCAAAACACAAACATGTAAAGTAGAGGGAGGAAAGAGAGGAGGGGAGAGGATTTTTAAATTAAGGCATCCAAAGAGGCACAAATGACAGCCCAGCCTAAGTTTTGTGAGTCTAACTGTCTTGATCTGACAGCTATCAAACATTGGCACATAGGCCCAATTGCATTAAATGTAGTTTAAACACACTTTGCTCTTCCTGGCAGTGGTGAAGCAAGGCGACAGCATTCTGAAGAACAGCAGGAGAGAGCGTGTACCAGCAGCACAACTGGTTGAATGGCCAATGTCAAATCTGCTGACAATAATGAACCAGAACACAACACACCACCCCCCCCTTAAGACGTTTTATACTGTTGAATCCTGCCTAGATAGTTTATGTAGTAAGAGTTGTAACTGCTTTTGCTATTTGTATTTCTCTGTGAACTGAGGACTCTGTATTTTTCCTCATCTCCCTGCTAGGTAGAAACAGATCTCTCCACTCTCTAGTCTTTGCATAGAACATCCAACCTGCTTCAATAGTTCTGAAAAATCCAAACCTCACTATAGATAGACAACCTTCTTAAAAGACCTTTTACAGGCATATTGCATTACTGTCTGTAGAACCAATGTATTACTGCTTAGAGAATTCAGGCACAGTGGATGCTATTTAGAGCTTTAACGATTTAGATAGCTTTAATAACAGTAATTTTCTAGTGCAGATGAGAAGACTTGTGTTGGATATGAAGTGATTCACTTCAACCAGATAATTTTTAACCATAGAAGCATTTTTATTTACATTTTTTTATTAAACCTGTATTAATTTTTTCTGCGAAGTGTATAGCACCTGCATTTTAGGTTACTGTAGTAGACCAAAATAAAGTTTTACTAAGCTAAAATGCTATTGTTTGTTTTGTGCTCCTTCTTCTGAATTCAGGATTGAAATTCCTGAAATCCAAGTGTCCTAATGAGGTTAGAAATATCTAGATTTCCTGTTGGCTGAATTTGACTTATCTAGACTTTGTACAGGGACGTGGAGATTCTTTTTGGCACATTAAAAAGCTTCAGCAAGTCCATGAATTCTAGACTTCAGGGATTTGAATGAGGTCTGGTCTTTCAGATCACTTTGAAGAGACCTCAGCAAGACATTTTGGATCATAGCGAAAAGAGACATATGTCTAAGGAGAAATCCATTAAAAGACTGCTTGATATGAGCATGAGGAAGGAAAATACACATATAAGAAGAGAAGAAAATATGCTGTGTTTTTCCACTCATTGGTACTAGGAAGAGGCCAACAGGAAATAATAAATATTGGTTTGATGGAGTGATGGTTCCCATAGCAACTTGGTTATTAGTTAAAAAGACCTCAATGCACATATTCCCCAACTCGTCTTTCTCTCACAAACAACAAGCAGGATGCTGTGGTCAATATTTATGACTAAGTTACACCGTTCAAGATTAACTCTGCCTTGTTTTGAAAAATAAGTTAACCACATCCTGAAGGGGAAATACGGTTTTTCACATACTGAGTTACTGCTGGCTTCAAGACAGCCTCTACAGAGTGCATAGTAAGGTCTGTTTAATTAAGCTCTGTCAGGTTAGTTCCTCAGACCCCACAGACACCTAGAGGAAGACTCTCACCCTATGCAGAAGATAAGTGAAATTTGCATGGCAAATCCAAGAAAAGTAAAACGCTTTTTTAGCATATTATACCACTATAATGTAAATCAGGGGGAGCTGTTGACTACTACTTTTATCCTCATGTTCTGATGACATCTTGAACCTTTTTGTCTTGCACTCCACACCTTTTCCCAATCTCTCTGGCAAGACTGAGCCTGGGAGCACCATTTCTGTGCCTCTGTGCAAATTAAGAAATTATATTTTCCAGTAGTCCTTGATTGTGCCCAAGAGCTTCGGCAGAATTAAAATCCTGCAACACTGCATAAGCAAAAAGATGAATCTACAAATCTGTGACTACTGAGGGATGGCATTGACTCATATAGAAATTTATCAGCCTCATAAAGACATCAGTCTCTATTGTTTCAAACACCCATCCCCATTGGTGTAGGACACCAGAGCCCTTATTTCCATCACAAAGAGATTCATGACCTGAGTGATACTTCCATGGTCAGGTTTTTCAGACCTGCTTATGCACCACTGGCAAACCACTCTGTGTGGGAACACCTATGCCCTCACTAATCCCCTAAAATGACAGTCATCTGTGCCTGTTGTTATCTAGGTCTCAGTCAAAAAAAGAGAAACTAAGGTCTTTGAGAAGATGGTTAAAAGTCTTCAGCTCTGTGGATCATGAGAAGGATGCCATACCATCCATCAGTCTCTTATCATAGTCTGTCGCTCAGCCACAGTGAGCAGAATTAGTCCCCATTGGAGTGCACTAGCCTGGTGGTCAGACCTGTGGCTCTGCTGAGAGTTTATTTCAGGTCAGTGTATGTGAAATAAGATTCTGTCACAGATGGCCAAAATAATGTTTCTGAGACATGATGCCAGGGATGGATACTGAAGACAGCCCATGAATCCTCATATTGTAGCCAGACTGGCAGTCTATTTTTCTCACTTTATCTGGAGAACACTGTTTTGTTGGCTGGGTCTGCCTTCTTCTGGAAGGAAAGGATTAGCTTCCTGTGGCAAGAAGCAGCCTGTGCTGGCTTAGACTAACTGGAGATAAGAGAGGAAGAGGTAACAAACTGTATAAATACACGCTTGGGGAGAAGAGCAGTATCTGTACCCAGTGAAGAATTTTGGCTTTTAGGCAGCTGACATCTAGAGAAAGGGACATTAACGGGAAAGGCAATATCATATTAGACCACAAGATCCAGCTGGAAGATACATGTGCAGACATACAACCTCTTTCCAGCTCTTAAACTTCTAGACAGATTGTGTTGGATTTTTTCTTTGAACCATTTCCCCTTTCAGGAGCTGTCTAGGTCTAATTATTTAGTTTGAGTTAAGAAAGACCCTGTAGCTCCTCTGTCTTATTTTCTGTTATTGTGACTTCCTGATTACCTCCCACTAGCAGTGGCTTTTCACTTTACGGTTGCAAATCTATCATTTTGAGTCAATGGAGAACAGACAGCTTAAGAAAACAGGAGAATTTGTTTGCAGAAGAAAATCTGTAACCATAAGCTTTTGTACAGCCCAATAGTAAGATTGCGTTGGTGTGGCTAATTCCACAGAAGAAGGCAGAGTCTGCAGCTTTCCAGCTGATATGAGCTAAGGGAAAGTTTTTTGTAAAAAGATTGTGCTCCACAGTAAAATATCCTGTTATAATCAGCACCTTGGCATTTAGAATTATCCCTAAATAGGAAAAACCACGTTGTCTTGTAAGAGATCAGATGATACCAGAGTAACGGAGGATGATGATAAGCAGAACTCATTAGTACAAAGCATTATAACGGTGTTATCCATATGGTCCTACAGATTTCATTATGTCCATATTTGATTGTGTTCAGAGAGCCTTTAAATATTTCCAGGGGTGGAGTCACTATCCCTGGAGATATCCAAAGACCATCTGGACATGGTCTTTGGCAAACAGCTCTAGATAGTCCTGCTTGAGCAGGAAAGACCAGATGACTTCCAGAGGTCCCTTCCAACCTCAGTCATTCTGTATTTCTGTGACATCTTTGTCATACACAGAATGTTTGCCTAGAAATTTCAAACAAATAAGCCCAGATTAGGAGTATAATTATTTGGACATGAGAAATGAATTGCACATTAACAGTGCGATTCAATAAGTTCAAAAAGCAGATTATATTGCCCTATAGCTGTAGACAGTGGTCAGGAGCACTAACATAGTCAAATAAAGCACAAGAAGATAAGTGATGAGACACTTAACAGAAGACAAAAATGGAGTATGGCATTTGAGAGGACAGAAATAGCAGTAACACTTAGCACAAGGGCTTGAACATTTTCTTTGCCATCTCTCATGATGAGAGATGGAGGAGAACTAAACCCCAAACAATGTCAATGTTGCTTGTGTGAAGCAGACTGTAAGGAGTTGAAGCCCACAGCTCATGAGTGAAGTCCATTCTGAGCAAGCCCAGGGAAGATGTTGCAGACAGCCAGCAGAAACTAAGCTAAAGTGGCAATTCAAGCTTACAGACGCTGAACACAATATAAAATTTTTTGAAGACAATGACAGGCAAGCAATGTCTTATTAGACAGACAAATAGATGGGGTACCTTTGAAGCATACAAAAATATTCAGGCTTCAAGGTCTCCGGACATGATTACAAAAAACAGTACCACTACTACTACATCCAGGGAACTGTATGACACCTTGCCACCTCTGTTATCCATCAACTTCATTTTTTCATGGATGTGCATATGGGAAAACAAGATCTGCCCCATTTAGGGCTAGCAGTTATTTAAAGGTATAAATAAGCATTTTTATAGCACAGAAAATGATTCTAAAATCACTAGTAATGATCATGGTTTGACCTTTCACTTGTGTCCTATCCAATTATACCATTTTTATCTAAGGGAGTAGTCTTCAAACTTCAGTCTGGCCTAGAGTTAAGAAATCGCTCACGACACTGTTGTTGTATTCAGAATAAGAACAACCTGC